GCCCACCATTATCCCGGATAATCGAGAGTTGACTGTACTTTGTTTTTAATTTTATGCTTTATGTATATTGTTTATACAAAGCTTGCCTGTTATGGACTTTTCAACATTATCAGATGCCGTAATAGAGGGATTTGGATACTGAAGAGTTCTGCTGTCTTTGGAACATGACACCATATAATCTGGCAGAAGTTTATTGACCTTTGTGAGGAATGTATTGCTTCCATCTTCAGAGTTGTCAAAGAGTAGGCCAAACAAGTGGCAAGCAGAGTAAGCCAGAATGTGGAAAGGCTAGTAGGGATATAAGCTGGGGTGGGAGCCCTAAGCAAGCCAGTGGAAGGGAGGAGAGGAGTGAGAGAGAGGACATTGTAAGGGTTGTTTTGTAGGTGTAGAGAGAGATGGGAGAAACAGTGGCATGAGTGACCAGTGGGAGGCATAGGTAGGCTTAAAAAGTAAGAGGATCCCATATTTGTAATAAATCGATATCTTTAGGAATCTTTCCGGATCGCTTGAAATATGCAGTTGTCAAGCCCCTTTTTAAGAAGGGAAATAAATCTACTATTTCCAACTACAGACCTATATCTATTTTAAGCTCATTTTCAAAAGTAATTGAAAAGGTCTTGTACGATCAACTTCTGAATCATCTTAAGAAATATAATATTTTAGCAGATGAACAATTTGGGTTTAGAGAGGATTCCTCAACCAATAAAGCCATTTACAAATTAATTAATGAATCCTTGCAAGCTTTAAATAGTAAACTTCCAATAGGTTGTATATTCTTTGACCTTGAGAAGGCATTTGATTGTTTGAATCATGATATTTTATTGTCTAAACTGCAATTCTATGGTATAAATGGTAAAGCTAAAAAATGGTTTGAATCATATCTTAACAATAGATATCAGAGAATTCAAGTTTGTGAAAAAGATTCTAATCAAACTACCCATTCTTCTTGGGGAAAAATAACTGATGGTGTTCCTCAAGGCTCGGTTTTAGGCCCGTTGCTGTTTCTCATTTATATCAACGATCTGCCCAAAATCGTAATTAACAATGCTATATCCATTTTGTTTGCCGACGATACAAGCGTATTAATTAAAGGTTCAAATTCAGAAAATCTCCATATTAATATGAATAATGTTTTTAATCATTTATATAAGTGGTTTAGGACAAATTTGCTTTCAATAAATATTAATAAAACTCATAGTATGCAGTTTAAAACCAAAAATAAACTCACAACCGACGTAGATATTGTTTGTAACAATCGTCCAGTAACCACTGTGTCAAATATAAAGTTTCTTGGTATAAACATAATGGATACACTCAACTGGAGTTCACATGTGGAATGTATAATCCCAAAACTTACCTCAGCATGTTATATGATGAGAAGTATTAAACCATACTTGCCTCTAAAAACTTTGAAAACAATTTACTACTCTTATTTTGGCTCTGTTATGAACTATGGTCTTTGCTTTTGGGGAGTCTCGCCTCATAGTATAAAAGTATTTAGAATGCAGAAGAAGATAATTAGAATTATGATCGGCTGTAATAGTAGAGTTTCATGTAGAGATCTCTTTCGGAAATTGGAAATTTTGCCTTTGGCTTCACAGTATATTTTTTCACTCATGCTCTTTGTGGTTAATAATAAAAGTCTCTTTATTCCAAATTCACTAAATCATAATATAAATACAAGACATATTACAAATTTCTATCAACCCATAGCAAATTTTACGGTATATCAAAAGGGAGTGTATTATATGGGCATAAAAATTTATAATAATCTTCCTTCTTATATAAAAGAAGAGTCACTCAACCCTAAGAAGTTCAAAATTTGTTTAAAGCGTTTTCTTTATCTTCATCATTTTTATTCTGTGGAAGAATATTTCCAATATAAGTCATTATAAGTTAATGATTATGCATTCACTAGAATCACCTGTTGATCATCCAGTCTTTTATTAGTATTATTCTAGTCATTATTCTATTATTCTAGTCTAGTCATTTAAGCAATTTCTGTGATATGTTCAAACTGACATTGTTTAAATTTAAACTGCATGTTTTATTAAATTAACTTATATGACTGGAATCTATTTGGTTCTACATGTTTTGTTTCAATTTTTGTATTTTATACTTTTTTATTTATGTACTTAGCTCTTGCTCTATTAATTTTAAGAATAATCACTGTATGGACATGTCCTATATCTCACTTGTATTGTGGATCCATGGAACGAAAAATAAATGAATGAATGAATGAACATTTAGAGTACAGAAGGGATGATATGAAATGTCTGGGAGGAGAGACAAGACTGACTGGTGCTGAAGGCAGAGTACTTCCATACAACGAAGAAGTACTGGAAGAGGAAGGAATGTTGTGATGTGGGTTTGAGAACAAAGAAGACACGAGTAGGGGCTGGAAGCAGGCTATGGAAGTGGACAAAAAAAAAACCGGAGATGCAAAGCTCTGTTGTGGGCAGGAGAACAGATGATAAGAGGGACCATAGGTGTTCAGAAAACAGCAGTGTTTGCCAGGCCTAGTGGCCTGGTTATCAGACCTCATCATGAGACATTCTTCAGAGGAGGCTTTCTGTGTTCTGTGAGGAAGTAGGTGAGAGTATTTCATGACTTGGTTAGACAGAAGCCATCTTCCATGTTCATGTGTTGGAGCTCTCTTGCTTTCTCATTATTTGGTCCATTTATCTGAATTTGGTAGAGAACATAACCAGTTGTTTGGATTTGGGTGTGATGCATCTGGCTGATGCTGTGACACCTTCATGGTTGACTTGTCTGGATCTATACAGGTATACTGATGTTGCATCTTGGCCCTAATGTCAATCATATTTCCTCTGCATGAATTTAGATATTCTTATTGGCTTTGATGTTTCTGAGGTTGCAGTTACATCTGCTCTGTTTCTCTCTAGATGTGACATAATAAAAGATTGGGAACTTTAGCTCATATGAGATAATATTTGATGTGGTCTTTGTTGGTTTTGTGTGTGTCCAATCAGTAGGTCTGTTCTTTCCAGGTTGCTGTTGCCTTCATGACTCTGTGTGTGTGCACTCTTGATGCCATGATGATACGGAGAAGATACACTGCAGTAAAACGCCACAATATCACAAGAAAATATATTAGTCCCAGCAGCTCTACAGAATCATCCTATAACTTGTGAGTATGGGTATTTAAGTTTACAGTTTATGAGAGTAGAAAATCAACTATACTGAACTCTCAGTTTAGTGTTATCAGTTAGTATCAGTTAGTTCCACAGTATCCCGTGCAGCACTAATGTCCTGTAAAATTTATTAAAAGCCATTTACTTTGCATTTGAAAGCAAGACACGCAACATAACACAACAGGCAGGAATACAGTCCATCACCTTGCACACACATGTGCATTGAGGGGATTATGTATTAACAACCTAAGCATGGATATAGAAGGCAGCAGTTTCCTCCATAATTTTTAACACCTGATGATGACCACATTGGTCGAAACATGGAGTGTAAAACTTCAAAGTTTTAATAAGTTTTATAGAGCATTAGCGTTGCATGTGAGACTGAAACTAATTGATAGTACGTGAAAAGAGCAACAGGATGCTACAATGTAATATTAGTATTGTCCCATTCAGTGAAATTGCAAGCCAGATCTTTTACTCACAGTCAGCATCTTGTGTCCACTGCTCAGCTTTCTTAGTCACCTGGCTAATTCTTGTGTATCAGATGTTACAAGTCTGTGTACTTACGTATTCTATGTTGTTTTCTCCTGTATGTGTGTCTTTGGTGTGGTATTCTCGTATACAAATCCTAATGTAGTTGCTCACGCTTGAATATCTTTGTAGGTAGTGTGTGTACCACTGTTTATCATAAAGTTCATGCACTGTTTGAAATATTAGGTTATGTGCTTGAATGTATATGTCGTTCATATGTAGTTAGTTAGTTAGTTAGTTATTAGAGAGGGTGGGTTTCCCCATGCACTTAGACCTGTAGTGGTCCAGTGTGCTTCCCTCTATGATTTCTACCAGCCTCTATATCCTGCCGGTATTGGTGCTTACCATCAGTCCCACCCAGCCAGCGAGACCGGCTCTACTGGCTGAGAAGTATCTATAATGCTTCCCCCCTCTACCGGAGGTATTAGTGACTGCTGTTGGGCGGTAAACGTCCGCAATTTTGCTCAGTGACCTCCTTTGGAGGTATGAGGTTCTTTTACGTGCTGTAAAGCTACGACACAGGACTCGTTCATATGTAAGTTGCTCCTATATATTTTGTACATATGATGTCTGCTCTTCCTTCTAATCCTTATGATGTCCATAGTATCCATTTTTTGCCATATGAGTGTCCCATATTCAGTATATGGTTTGAATAACCAGGCTTGCTACAGTTACTTCTAATGGCTTGAATATGTTCCTTGTACCTTACTAAGGACACACATACAGAAGAAAACAACATACAAAATGTAAGTACACAGAATTGTAACATCTGATGTGCAAGACAACAAGAATAAAATCATACATAATAATACACACTATATATTGCAGTGTGATAGCCACAAAAAGAGTACAGTGATGGAGTGCGAGATATGTGATACAACAACAACAACAACAACAAAAAATGCCAGAGACTACAGAAGACAAGTGGACAGTACAGTGGTCTCTTCACCAGTCAAAAGTTTGCCTGATGATGGCCCATGTGCGGCTAAAACATGTTACAAATTAGAAGAAAATATGATATAAATTAAAGACACTCTAAAGTAGTGTTTCCCAACCTTTTTGATGCCGCAGACCCCCTGTACTGAATGTTAATTGACCACAACCCCCATAAAACCCAAAATGGAAATTTTTTATATTTTACATATCATAAAACTGAAGCAGTAACTTACAATTTTACAACACTAAATGTGTTGTTTATGACAGTAAAATACTGTTATAAATGGAGCTTATTCGGAAGATCACAAACATATCAATTAGACCTAATATTATGAATTTAACACTCACCTAATCAACAATCCACACTTTAACCACCGATCCATATCTAAATAAGATCTTGAACAAACTGAAATTCAGAAGTTTCATTGTGAACTCAATTATTTGAACAAGAGCAGAAAAACTGAATATTAAACTGAGAAAAACACACTTGTATAATATTATAAAAATTCACTGCACAAAAACTGAAAACACACAGGTTGTCCACTCCGTCACTGAAATGAATAAGAAACGTGGTCAATGGTCCCAGCTTTATTCCCAACCAAAGAGGGATGGATTTGGTGGGGAGGGGGAGAATGGTCAGACAGCAGGTAAGCAGGACAACAATCCACCCTGAAACACGGGTCTGAGATGCAATGGGCCGACCAAAAGAAAATGTCTTTGGAAAAAGCTGCACAAATCGTTTGTTATTCACCTCTACTTTACAAAGGGAAGGTACCGTTATGGTACCAACAGTCCCGTTAAATTTTACTTCAACCATGGGCCTCAAGAGCCAAGATATACATTGCAAATATCCCAGGTGTGAGGAACATGATAAGATAAAGTTTAATGAAAATAAACTATCCCACGGACCCCTTTTCAATTACTCGCGGACCACAGGTTGGGAACCACTGCTCTAAAGTATTTAATAGTCACTTTTAGTATATATGATATACATGCAGTGTCTTAATGACATTATATAACATTTAATAACATTTTAAAGTATTAAAACTACACTTTTAGTGAAGAACATGTTTTTAGGTGTCTTTCATTTATTTTAAATATCATTGTTGCATCATTGAGGGTGTACATATAATTGAATAATGATGAAAGATGTTTCTGTTAATTGTTATTCATCATAATTATTGTTAACCTCTTGACCAGTTTATGTTAGGCAAATTGATCCTTCCATCTCTTTGGTGGCAGACCTTTAGCTCTCTCTTCTTCCTTTTGGATGTTAGTGAAACCCCTTTTGACAAAACTGTTTAGTTGACATTCTTAAATAATTCTATTGGCATTCTTTAACTGTTAATACAGGATTAAATATATTTAGTTCTTGTGTAGTATCACTCTTTCTCTCTTTTGGGGGCCGTATTCTCTCTAGACTGCCCCTGATAGCATGACTCTCATTTTCGAGGAGTTGATGTGTTGGAGGTGTTGTTTAGTTGAAGTCCAGCCTTCAGTGCCATGTAAGAGAGATGGTACTGCTAGAGCTTTGTAGAGTTTTGAGTTTATTTTTAGCAGTGTTATCGTCATTAATTTACCAATTAAGTGTTCAGTAACAGTGGTAAATATTTAATAAAGTAAGAGCTGTAATTTTGGGGAGCTCACATTCTGAAGTACAGAAAAGCATATCTCCTAAGTTTGACACATTAACATGACTATGGTAATTTTGTTACAGGTCTAGTATTTCTGATGAGAGTCCCACATCTGTATCAGGAAACTGTCAACAGAAACATCTGACCAGTACACTGTCATCTCATGAGGATGATGCCAAACTTCCTGAAGCCCGTGATTTCTGTCCCATTAATGCCACTTCATATTCACTTCACGCTCCTCTCTCTTGTCATATTACATCTGCTTCTGAAGATGACAAATCAGAGGACTTAGGCCGTGGACTTGGAAACTTAACTTTAGGTTCCTCATCATGTGAGAACTGGATCAGTAAGAAAAATGGTGTCATTTCTTCATTTGAGACCAAGGTATATGGACAGAATAGGTGCAGTGAGCTGTTTAATGGCAATTTAAGAAATCGAAAAAGACCCATTATCCGACCATCTCAGCTCAGTTTGTTTAAGAATGTTACACAGTCATCATGGGTTGCTGGAGGATACTGGCAGTCTCTGGCTCACAGGCGGGACCTGCCAGTATCAGGACCTGTATCTCAGGAGATTTCTGCTGCAACTGCTTTTGCTCCATTATCAAGATCATCCAGCCAGAGCTCAGGATTTGTTTCTCAGTCAAGTCAGCGTGGTGTTTATGATGGTGCTACAAGCCTGCCGAATTCTCACACTGGTTCCATTTGTGGAGCAGACATTGACAGTTTCTCAGCACTCTCAGAACCAATTTCTTCACGTACCACAACTCCTGTTTGCTATGCTGCAGCGAGGCCTGGTACATTTATTGATGCTTCATGTTATGGAGGACCTCCAGTCATTACGCACCAGGCCTACAGTGTGCTTCCTCAACTGCCTATGTTCTTACCAAACTATGGCTCTTTGCCACACCCACAGCCTGTACCTTGTTACTACCCCCCTCAGTCCCCCCGTCCCCTGAGTCCCATCTGGAACCAATCTGCATTTTCAGTTGTACCTGTAAAGCAACCTCGGACACCAGCAGCTGATGTTCTCAGTCAGTGTAGCAGCCAGGATTTGAATGAGAATCAAGGTTCTTCAGCTAAAACTGTTGTAAAACGTGAATGTGTGTGGAGACAGCGCACCTTTGTTTCAGCTGTGCGTGAAAATTTGTTTCTAGCTATTCTATTTGCAGGCAGTCTTCTGTTTAATGTGTTGATTCTTGTAGGTGTCATGTTGTGGAATAGTAGCACATTGCTGTCTGGGATGCTGTCATGATGTTAAGTGAAGTGATGTAAGCAGGATTCTGAATGGATTTCTGGGAGTGTGAGGATTGTCTGTGTTCCAGCATGTAATTAGCTATATGTTTGAATATTGTGTTTGTAAATACCCCAGAGTTTCTTTTGAAGAAGTGGATGTTTTACATGCGCATGCGCACATGCACACACACAGAGTTTTAATAATTTTCAAAAGATCAGGCACATTGTTTTGTTACTGTGTGAAGTAAGAGCAGAAATGGAAAGCAAACTTCTACAATACAAAACATTGTTAAAATAAGAATGTACTCTATGTTTTATGTCTCAGACACCATTCACTTCCTATATTTGTAGCTAAGAGACTTAGAAGTTGTCATGATAATTGTTCCTTTGTATTTATTAATAAACAAGTGCATATGTTTGTTGAACAGAAAGACCCTTATAATTTCATTGAGTTAACAGGTTTTTTTAAGTTATATTTTGAATGCTTTTTGTTCTATTATTATTTTATTTTTCTGATTGCTTTTGCTTGCCATCTTCTCATATTGTATTATTAAGGATTAAGGTCCCCATTATGCAAGATGGACCTGAGAAGATTAAAATGCATTTTGATCTTTGTTTGCGAAATAATGTTTAGTTGATGGAACTAAAGGATTAGTGTGAAGATTGGACACGTCATATGTATTGAACATATTGTGGCATGTAGACCCACTGCTAAGTGGTGACTGTAAACAACAACCATTGCTATGCAATGGCACGATAAATATGATCCCATTGGTAGGCAGTGAAGCTGAAGAATCTCCACTTTTGGAAGCCATTGCCAGGGAACGGCTGGTGAAGAAACAGCAAGCCGTAAAAGGCTTAGCAGGTGCTATGGTGATCTGTCAATAGTGAAGAATAGTGGTGGCGCTGTAATTACTTTTACTTAAGAGTCATGTGTATAAGTGGCCAATAAATCTGATTTCCAGTCCAAACCTCATCTATAGTCACACATACACATGACAATATTGTTAAGAAGCTAGCACATTCAGATTATGAGCTTCTGCAGTGTGACACCATGTAGTTTCATAGATAATATCAATGTTTGTGGGTAACCAAACTACGTACATGACATCATATCCATTTTCTACCCTGTAGATAATGGCAGCGGGTTTCTCTGAGGTGTTGTTAACGTTTACCAGGCTACATGGTATCACATCCCAGAAGACAGTTAACAGTCACTGCCATGAGAACCTCAGATTTCACAGATTTTATAATGTGTAGTTGAAATGGAAATTTGTGTGCAGAAAATCTTAATTGGGAAGTAATATGTGTGTGTGTGTGTATTCATGAAGACACACTGGTAACTTGCATATTAAACTGGTGTTATCTATTTTATTTAATTTAAGTTTATCTGACGATGCTGTCAGGAACTCAGACTAAATAGCATCAAATGATTAGATGATAGTGTATAACGAATTTGTAGAGGATTTAAGACTCTAATCATGAAGTCATCTGGAGGGACCGAGAAAAACCATGAAAAACCTCAGCCAAGAGAGTTGATGTCCTGGCTGAGATTTAAACCAGGCCTATCCCAAATACGAATTGGAAGCAGTACCGCTTGAGAATTACTGGGTGCTTGGTCTTTGTCCATTGCCTGATATTCTAAAGACTAGAGAACTCAGTGTTTCATAAACTTGATCTGTTTTTGTGTTCAGATGGGTGAGATACCGGGAGATGGAAACAGATCCATTTTCCAAAATGTTGTGTTCCCTAGTTCTTAAAATACTGGGCGATGGACAAAGTCCAAAAGCCCAGTAATTATAAGTGTTATACACCATTGTCAAAACCCTTCAGAATATAATTACCACTTTAGCCAATTTGCCTAGTAAACTGTTGTTACACATCTGAACTGAATATCCTTTTAGTCCATATTTGTACTGTGTAAAGTGTTAACATGTGATAGAGAATGTCCCTAAAGGACATTATCATAAATTGTGCTGTCAAGCAGCTGAGGATATTATTCATTATTATTGATATGATCAGATAATTGGCAGATTGTATTTGTGATAACTGTACTTACCTTCTATTCCACACTGTCCTGTCTGAAGTAATTTCATTGCAGCTTGATGCTACAGGTCAAACTACATGCCACTGAAGCATTTGCAAAAATTCTGCAGTTCTTTTATCATGATGATGCCATCAGATTTCTGTTTCAGTACCAACTTGAGTTTTGTTAGTTGGAGGGATAACCTTCAAAGTAAATCGTGGATCTGAATTTTTTCTGAAGATCCTCACAAAGCGACACAGTTCTGCTTTTGCAGTCAGCAGGTGCACAGACTTGAAGCAGTGTGTCACATGTTCAGATGTTGTGTCAGAATGCTATGGCATGATCCAATTAGATCTTCACCTCATTAGGAAAGTCACAGTGATAGTGACACAGCTGTTTTCTGGAGCAAGCTCATTGATTTCTGTGTCACATTTTCATCCATTTTGCTCATAGATGGATATCCTTAACACTCAGAACCATTGACAGATGTTGAACTGAGAAAACCAATTAGATGTTTTTAAGTTCTTTTCATGATTTCCTCTACAAAAAGAAGTTTTAAGAGCTCATACATTTCTGTAGCAGTTTCCCCTTGTTTGAAGCAGAACTTGATGCACATGAACTTGCTTGAAATCTGCCTTTTTCTGGTAAGATGTAAATCACAGAATGCATGCAGCACAGCATCACACTATTGCTAATGAGTGATGCAATCTGTACCTTTTAAATGAAGGGAAAATGACTTAGCAGATTCTGCTCTACTTCCATCTAACTGGAGGGTTTTTAACTAACTGTAGTATTATCATATCATGGCCAGTTGAGAAACTAAGTGGCCACTCCACAAAAAATTAAGTGTGCTGAAAATTGTGTGAATAATTCAAGTGCCTGCCACTTTTGTCCACAGTAGAATGTGACACTATTCATATTAAATGTTGATTAGCCCTGTCAGTTTTATTTTAATTAATTTGGAAATCAAGGAATTGTGTTCTAGTTATGATAGAAATGAAAGTGCCATGTTTTTTTTTTAACGTTACGTCACATCTTGTAAATGAGACATGTAATTCAGATGCCAGTACCCCATGAATAACTAATGACATTTGAGGCTAGTTGTTTTGGCTTTTATCCATCATCGCTTTTAATACAAAAACCACAGCATATTAGTAATTAGTTATATTTCTGTGTTTAGAAAGGCGCACTTTTGGTAGAGCTACTGTTATGCCCAGGATATTGGAGTAGCTCTGTGTGAAGAAACCTAACAGGACCGCATTCTGTTCATATATTCTCCACCTGAGGGCAGAAATAGAACCCATTTTTGAAACATTGTGGTTTTTGTATTAAAAACCAAGCCCTTTGACAAAAAGTCCAAATAAATAATCATAAATGTTATACAAGTGTTATGTTCGACATCTGGGGTATATGTAAAATACATGATGTTTCAAAAACTGGATTTATTTACATCAGATGTAAGGGAAGAAGAAGGGGGGAAATGATCCTACTTAGCTGGAGCACTGGACTGATGATTGAAACTAATTCCTTCCAAGGGGACCAACTGAGTACCACAACCCAGCATCTGATGATAGAAGTAAATCCTGTTTGTAAAATATGTTTTTTTAATATGTCATAGACGTCGGACAATGTCCAACATAATGTGGCATGTAGACTTGTTGCTAGGGATTGATTGTGAAATCAGCAATACAGTAGCCATTGCTAGGTAACAGCCGCAACAGACACATGCACACAACAAAAGAAGAGCTGTTGGAAGCCGTGTTCTCTGTGCAGCATGTGCCAAGGCTATATAACGAGGGCCAGCTGCTGTTAGAAGAATCTTGAGATGATAGTTAGAAACAGAGGAGGCTGGTGTGAGTTGGCTGCCAGCCTGCAAGGATGTGAGCCTGGGAACATCTACTGTTGAAGACATACAGAAGTGTTGTTTTTATGTGGGTTTAATTATACTGTTTTACTTTTCATTTGAGTGCTCTTTATTCTAAAGAATAAAGAATTATTTCATAAATGAACTGAATGATGTGTGTGCAATGCAGCACTGCCACAAGTAACACATTAGCTTTGTCATATCAGATACGCTGACTGTAGTGTGTGAGTTTGTGTTTTAAAAGTCTTCAGTGAGTTTTCATTGTTCATTCGTTGCCATTGTAGAATTTAGTGCCAACTGAAGAAACATAATTTCTGTGAGTTGAAAGCTTAGTTCAATATTGTAGCCTTCTGTCCTCCAGCTGGATACATTGAGTACATGTCACATATTTTGGGTCTGGGTAGATCATTTCACCGCGGTTATATATCACCATGTACTTTGCCTTTAGTGTGTGTAGCAGAAATGTAAAGGTACATTCCAACCCCAAAAGTGCTTAAAATTGCTGTCATTTAGGCTGTGACATAATGTATTCAGGTAGATGTTTGTGACGTTTTGGAGGAACCTGCTGCCTCCATCTTCAGGGTTGAAGATTAAAGTAACATGTTCCTCCAAAACTTGATAGACATCTACCAGACTATCTGCTGCCACATCTCATGAGACAGTATTCTTTAGTTACTGACTGCCATGAGAATATCAGATCTTTGTGATCTTTTATATGTCACTGATTTTGATGTTCATTTAGTGCAAATACAGATATGTTACTAAGGCAAGAGAATAAGCGGTTCCCCACCACCACCGCCACTTTGACACTGAAGATGGGTATGGCATGTTTCTCCTGAATGTTAGTATCCACTGGTGTTATAACACTTAACTCAGAAACTTGCAATCTGAATAAATGGAACTTTGCATAAATGCTTAGAATATTTTTAAATACAATCAGTTGAATACTGACCATGAAAGACGGACTGAAAGTAGCTGACTGCTGAGGAGAATATTTGGATATAACAAGCAAAAGGGTCAGGATGACAGAGAATTCTATAGTGAGGAGGTTCATAAATTGTACTTACCGAATATTATTAGGGCATTGAAGTTAAGGAAGATGAGATTGATGGGATGTGTAGCACACTTGTAGAAGAGAAATGCATACAAAATTTTTGCAGGAAAATCTGAAGGTAAGAGACCACTAAGAAGATATCCGACTAGGTGTGAGGATAATATTAAAATGAATCTTAAAGAAATAGGATGGGAGTGTGCAGATTGGATTCATCTGGCTCTGGATATGTACCAGTGGTGGGCTGTTATGAACACAGTAATGAACTTCTGGGTTCCATAAAATACTGGGTGTTCCTGAGTAGCTGAACAACTGTCAGCTTTTAAAAAGGACTCTGCTGCATTGAGTTAGGTAGTTGTATAGTATAGTAAACATAAAAAAATGATTTAAGAGTAAATTCTAGACATTTTTTTATAGATTCAAATTTGATTATCTCGTTGCAAATACTGGTTATGTTGGTCTGATAAACCAAAATTGAGTGGTCAATTTTTAATGTGGATCTCAAATACCTAATTCCTTTTCAATCTTTTGATTGGCTTCAGAGATAAAATCTGATGTTTAGGTCTTTGAAATGTTCCCCCACCCCCTCAGATTTTATGCCAAGGCTTTGTATGGATTAAGAGATGAAAAGAACACATGACAAGTTGCAATATTGTAGAGAATGGAAATCACTGATAACATGACTTATTCTGTAGAACCATAAAATGAAAATTCATTCTGCCTGTGTCAGACACAGTAGCCATAGAACTTCTCTCAATAATTTAAGTGTATGTTTTGCACAGTTTGACCATGCAGATCACAGGTCACAGCATGAATAATTAAGAATCCTATAAGTACATACACTGTATAAACCTGTATACCTTGTTACCTTAGCTTCATAATTTCCATTTTATGCAGGTCAGCAAATGAAATATCTGCAGTTTCTCTCCTCGTGCAATGTATCTTTTCCAATTTGTCTGCTTATTCCTGTCTTCTTGATGTCTTCCAGTACTTGGTTGAACAGGCTTGTTTTCGATTTATGTGCCTTTTTCATAATCCTTGTTTTATCTATTCATTTGCATCTCCAGACTCCTGTGGTCATGTCATTGTGATTCTGTTAACAATGTTTGAATTCCAACTTCTCTTAATTTGTAATTCTATCCCTCTTTTTTTTACCCTCAATACTTCTCAGAAATATTTTATGTTTGCTGTAAATGTGGATATTGTAATGCTTCTGTCTTGTTCTTTTACACTAAATATTTTTTTAAAACATGGCAATTTAAACGTTTAAATTTGGAGAAATTGGTGACCATTATATGGATTTGACAAATTCAACTGTAGTGTCATCCAGCACTTTAAAAGAGCAGATAATATGATCATCAAGATGCCTTTTTTAATATACACAATTTAAATATTTTTCTATGTAAGGAATCATCTGAACTGAATAAATCGTTTTATATACATGCTACACAAGTTTTATGACTATAGCTGTTCAGTTTTACTGTTTTTAAAGGAACATAGTTTTTGGGCCATCTGGAAATGTGTGTTTGTTGTAAGCTGTGCAACAGATGATGCTCATGAAAACTAATTTCACGTTAGATCAGCATTTTTATTAATGCACTATTTAAGTGAAAAGAGCTCTTTTTTTGGACTGTGACCATGTGTATTCCAGTAGAAGTCTGATGTTTTCAAGAGAAGTACTGTGTGCATCTTCAGAGTCGAAGGTTAAGTCGAGCAAGAAACCAGCTCTGCTTGCTGCCTGCATGTTGCTAGTTTCTTTGTTGACTTCATCTTCAGCCCTGAAGATGGATGCACTTTTTTCCTCTGAAACATTGCTGGATTACTACTAGACTTCTTGGCTTTACATCCTGGAAGGCATTACTCTTCATATCTGTTCTGAGAACTTCAAATCCACCCTAACCTTTTGGTCTTTATGAACCATTAACATTTTCTGTGGTAATCCATATTCTCAAACACTGCTAATGTGTTTAAAATTATGCCTTCTTGTAGTACAAATAAGGAAATATACAATATGAAATGACTTACTTGATTTCACTGAACCTTAATTTGGGGGTGTGGACTGACACCTGCTCCTTCACAACTTCAACAGATACAGAACAACAGTGTTCAGATTTGCAACTCAGGTAAACTGCTGCTGTCAAAGTCAGATGTTAACCTATACTGTATAATAATACTGCAGTACAGTGTTATAATGTTATGGTAATACAAAGCTGATATATGTCAGCTGCACAACATATTGTTCTTGTTCTGCACATTATATTATTGTTGGTGTCGTTCTGAAAAAATTGTGGAAAATGTAGATACAAAGAACTTACCAAGTTATTCACTGCCATATGTATGAGTACTTTATTAATTTGTACAACTGTTTGTGTTTGGTTTTATTATTATTATTGTTTCAGTGCATCAGTAATATGTGCATTGCTCTGATATTGTTATAATGTGTTACAATAAACATGACTATTATTTTGGATGTTTTCTGTGACATTGAGGTTATTTAAATTGCAGCATGTCAGAAACTGGATATCTCTCCATCAATAGGTGTAAACGATTTATGGCTAGCCCAAGCAAGCAGGAGCCAAGATAGCACAGTTGGTACAGTGACTGGGTATGGGTTGAGCAATGTAGGGGTCAGAGATCAAGTCTTGGTAGGGTCAAGAATTTTTTTAATGTCATCCAAACTGTTTCTGTGGCCTATCCAGTCGGTATGGAGGGCTATTTCTCTGAGGGCGAAGTGGCTGGGGCTTGAAACTGACCACTCGCATCCAACTAGTGCTGAGGTAAAGAAAACGATCTATACATCAACCCCCCAATGCACCTTCATAGCATAATGCTCAATTAGTTAAGCACAGGGACAGCTTTACCCTCTTTTTGTCCAATTGAGCAGTGCCTTTACACCTTACACCTGATGATGGAAGCAGGTAGTTTCTGAAATGTTGCATTTGAAAGAAACTCAAGGTGATGGACAGTGTCCAAAATAATGATCATATTTATTGTAACACACACAATTAGAAACTGTGCTGTATAGTGCATACATAATTGTAACATCTTTGTACATTTATTGATTGTTCATGTAATGAAAGACACATCAAAAGTGAACTGTTGAGTTGTACATTATTGTAACATTTGAAAGTATATTCTTCCTTCAGGCTTCATATATTATAATAATAATAATAATACGAAGAAATGTAGATACTGTTTGGGAGGAAAGCTGGTAACTATTTGAATTATTATGCTTTAGGCCATTAATGATTCAAATGAGTCGTCGTGCATTTTTTTTTTTGCAAAAAGTACATGCAGAATCACCAAACTCATCCCTTTTAGATATTCTCCCTTTACACTAACACTTTCTATCTATCATCCTGGCAAGTTACTGATGCCAGCAGCACAAAAGGTTTCATCCTGACTGCATAGCCACTTCAGGTCACTGCATTTCAGTTCATCATTGGTTTGAAAGTTCTGATCACTGGGCACTAACCCAGGGCTTTAAGGAAGGTGGTTCATGATTTCCCAGCCTACTGTTGCCAATGTCACCTTTATTAAATGTGTCATATGTGGACAGGCATTGTTTTGCAGTAGTATGAGGACAGTTTACCAGGTTTTTTCTTCCAAATCACTTGGTTCACATCACTGCAAAGTAAGTTACTGTGATACTATAATGAATTGTTTCACCATGTGTAAAAGGAGCTGGGATAACTTAGTTGGTATAGCAATAAGCTACTGGCTGGACAGTTGGAGTTGATTTCCAGTAGAGGAAGGAGATTTTTTCTACTCCACTATGTCCAGAATGGCTCTGGGGTCCACCCAGCTTCCTGTCCAATGCATATATACTTCCCCAGAAGTACAGTGGCCAGCATATGAAGCTGACCACTTAGCTCCAACTAGTGCCAAGGTGAAAAATGGTAGCTATACCTCCATTCACCCATGCATCTTTATGATGTGCTTAATTAATTAAGCACGGACAGCTTAGCCTTAATGTACCATATGGAAGAAAATGAACTTGAATCACGCCTTCTGAATCCTGAAACACACTTGCCACAATGTTGCCAGCAAGCTGTAGATTTAAGGCTTCTTTACGTCCTTCAGAAAAATTATTTACTCATCATAGACACTTGCATGTGATGGTCTCTTCCTCATACTATGCGTTTAACATATGGAAAATCTCTGCTTTTTGTTGAGGCATTATGTTATGAGCTGAAAGGTTGCGGGTTTTGGTCCGAATGATGGGAATTTTTTTTTTCAATTTACCTAATCATTCCAGCCACACTATGGCCCTAGGGTCAACTCAGTCTCTAACAGAAATGAGTATCAGGAATCTTCCTTCAGGGTAAAGGGCAACTGGCACATAAGGCTGACAACCTTGCTGCCATCTATGAGCCTATTGTCTAGAGAAAATTTGGGAGCCTAGACATCTCACAAACCTGTGGGCCTTAATGGCCTATTACAGGGATAGCTTTTCTTTTTTTTTTCCTTTTTTTTTTTTTTTTTTGTTATATGTATAACTAAGTCGTATTATAATACTGACAACAGAATATCCCGTAAGAAACCTTGTAAATAATACACATAGATATTAGATTAACCACATCATCATCATCATCATCCTCAGTAATCTGTCAGATGACAGGTCCACAGTCTCTTCCAAAACAATTCCTCCACTTAATGCGATCTAGAGCTTTCTCCTTCAAATGACAGTATCCTCTTCTGTCCCCATGGTCATCCAGCATCTTCTTACGTCTTCTTGTCACTTCTATCCGCCCCTCTATCTTTCCTTCAATAACTTCTTTTAGAAGGCAGTTTCTGCGTAAAACATGACCAATCCAATTAGCCTTCTGTTTTCTTATTTTGTGTAGGATATTCCTCTGCTCCCTGACTCTAATTAACACTTCTTTATTTCTTACATAATCGGTCCAACTGATCTTCATCCTTCTCCAACACCACATTTCGAAACTTTCCAGATGTTTCTGATCTACTGCCCTAAGTGTCCATGTTTCAGCCCCATACAGAGATATGCTCCAAATGTAGCATTTCACTAGTTTCTTCCTCAAATTTAAATTTTAAGATATAAGATACCACTGAGAATTCGGTGAAATTTTAGTAGTTATTTCTGTAATTTCTTCCAAATCACTGAATCTAGCTGCAGAATTTGAAGGTTTGACATTGACAATGCTGAAGCCTGCCATTTGTTACTCTCTTCAACCAATTCATTCCACTTCCTATTATCAAATAATTACCGTGCCTTTCCTTTCTCCTCCCCCTACATGACTTCATGGAGCTGAAGCTGCCAGTCGTGCAGCTACTCAAGAACTTCCCAACATTTTATTTTATTTATGGAACCTGAAGGTTCACAACCATGTTCGCAAGAGCGCTCCACTGGTCCTTATCTTGAACCAAATTAATCTAGTCCATACCAGCCCATCCTATCTCTAAGATACACTTTAGTATTATCCACCCACCTATGTCTTGGTCTTCCTAATGGTCTCTTCTGGCTTTCCTGCCAATATCTTACATGCATTCATCTTCTCCCCTATTCATGCTACATGCCCAGCACTTTCATCTTGACCTGATCATTCTAATTATACTTCGTGAAGAGTACAAGTTATGAAGCTCCTCATTGTGCAGTTTTCTCCAATCTCCTGTCACATCATCACTCTTTGGTCCAAATATTCTCCTCAGCACCCTGTTCTCAAACAACCTGTCTTCCTCCCCCCACCCTGGATAAACCTCAGGGTATTAGATCATTTGTAAGACCCAGAAATAACCAACTAAATGGGGCACAGAGTCTGAGATTCTCACCTAGTCAAGAAATTCCCAGCAGCTTATAGAACTGAAAGTTTATTAATGTATTCACAAGAGCCCACCATTGGTTCCTGTCCTCAGCCAGATGAATCTAGTTCATACCTCCCATTCTATTTCTTTTAGATCCATTTTAAAATTATCCTCCCATCTTTGCGTAGGTGTTCCAAGTGGTCTCTTTCACAGACACACAAAACAAATGACAAAACAACAGTTATGTATACTGTAGGGTTTATGCCTTCAGATAGCATATGGGAAGACAAAGGCATTTTCATCACAATCTGTTTCTCTGAGACCTATTTTCATATTATTCATTTGATCGTAGTCTCTTTGCCATCAAGAATAGCAGAATAATATTAAAATGTGTCTTAGAGCAACAGATTGTGATGCCATAAAGTAGCAAAAGTCAATCACATGTAACTAGTTTAATAGTGTAAGTAAAATTTTTGGCTATTCCAGGCCATCATCAGAAGGCATAGTCAACAATATAAAGGAGCTACTTTATATATTTTGTTTTTTGTATATAGGTTACATTATCATAAAGGGACTTATACTAGTTGTATAAATTTAAGAGCAAATGATTATTACAATTAAAATGAATTGTGTATATCATGAGTAATTACTTAAAATCAATTAAAACAAGTTAAAAAGTATTCTGAGTATATTCAAAGAATGTACTGATAGCACTCTGTTGTTGGTCATGTAGTATACTTTATCAGCTGTTGTACTGTGGGCTGTAGGTCTGTCTGTGTGAGAGGTTATGTGAGATATAACGAAGTCCGTGGGATATACTGTGGTGGTAAAGGCAAAACCTTTATTCTCTCCTATTAAACTGGTTACACCTGATGCACTTATAGTACTTATGTATGCACTGAGATGTGTAACAGTTCAACGTGTCTCTTATAATAGAGCATGTGAAGATAGGAATGGATTTGAGTTTACTCAGAATAAGGTCCAAGGTTTTTTTGACAATGACAGTAGTTTTCTTTCATCCACTGATTAACTATAAATTGGTCAAGAAAGACCCTGTATCCTGAACTTCATGATGGCAGTAGAGAATAGGTACTACCCTGTCAAGGGATACACTTCATGTAAATGGACTCGGAGCATGTTGAAAAAACAGAATAAGCAGAAATGACACTTTTGCAATTTTATTATAAAAAAGTTATGTGAACAATAATATATCTGTACTGGAATGTTTAAACATTCTGATATAATAATACATAACACATACAATGAATAAAACTGTTACTCTGTTCTGTATGACATCAGGGCCTGAAGACTTGCAAAACTTTTCATCCAGATATAGACAAAATGTCTGATGTTATCTTATATTGTTTCTTCATTTGTCATTTCTAGTGTTCAGAGAATGTTCTTGAACTGCAGCCATACTTTTGCTTACATTATCCATATCTTTTGCAAGGTCTTGTAAAATTTCACTGTAGTTTTTCATCTGAACGGCTATTTGCTGAACATTCTGGAATTAAATGAATGAGCCACATACTGAGAATAAGTTGCCTAACAAAAATAACATTGAAAACAACCTCAAAGCTACAATCACAACTGTCAAATGTTATGAATGAGATATTTAACCACCATTCAGTGTGACTGATAAAAGTAGTGTTTTTAATTTTTCATCCTTTACATGTTTTGGACAAAACGACCATCTTCAGAAGGATATCATCAACACACATGGAAACTACTATTACCATGTCATAGATATGTGTTATATCTTTTAACTAATACTAAGATGTACATTAATTTGTTAAAACATCTAAAAATTATTACAATTAGTCTGTTTACAAAGTAATGTTCAATATTTGTTTTAGTCTACAACCAGTTTCGTTTGTGTCATTACACTTTTTCTCCTTAATGGAAGATGAATATATTTCACAGTGTGGTTTCATTATCTGATGATGAAAGCTCTTTTGTATCGTGGTCCAGTTATTCAGGCTATGCTGTGTTTGTTACATAACATATCTATGATGTGCTAATGGTAGTTTCCAGTCTGTAGTAGTAGTAGCAGTCTGTTCTGAGACGAACTGAATTTTTAAATGTTCAACATGAATTTCAGGCTCCAGGCAGTTGAGAAAATCTATTTCTTGGTGTGAAATTATTATTGCTGTTCTCAGAACATATCTTTGGCAAATAAACTGACAGTACAAGCTGCATGTAACTGGCAATCGTAAGAATAGCATTAAGCTGAAAGCCAAATACAGCTAATTCTTAACAGTATTCCACTCCGATTCTACTTGCCAAGACCAGTACTAACTTGTTTTAAGGTGTGATACAACATTTCTGTTTTATTTTCATCATATTCATTATCGCCGGAGCTAATAGTGCTAGCTTCGTTTTCTTTCAATGACATGACAACCTTAACACAAAAATAATTCATACACCGCTAACAAACATATTATTTACTGCGACATGGATCAATAAATGTCACGGATCCTATACAACAACCAGTAGCTAACATCTTGCATCTCCGGCCGTATGTGGGGCAGGGTACTACCGATCCAGGAGAGTGACCCGTGACATGTTCAGTGACTAAAAATGATTTGTACGTAGTTCAAGCCGATCAAGCAGCTGTAGATGTCGCTGAAGTATGTTGAAATAACATTTAGTTGCATGTCTATACTTAGTAATCCGTGTAGACAAGTGACTGATAGTAAATTTTATAAACACTTTTTGAAATTATGTTTGTGTAACCAGAGTAACTAGTACACACCTGAGTTTTTACTCGTATACAGGTACTTGTTAATATCGCTTAAATATACTACAATCGTAATTTTCTTGTTGGGCACTGGTTATGGTCTCTTGACATAACCTAAAAATTATTACTGTACCAGCACTACATTTTCATCGCTAATAATACATTTCTTTAGATTTGTTTTCTTTGTTGGATGATGGCCCTGTGTTGTGGTGGGCTAGTTTTCCGACATTTCGGAGAAGTTGCTTGTATCTGTCTTTAGATTGACGAACCGAAAACCTGCGTTAGACCACTGTTCAGTCACAATGCCATCACCCAAGAATTAGAACTACATAAAGTTCTGAAAGCTGGAAGAATATATGAAATGTAATGTGTGCTACATCGGTAGGATTACATACATAATCTTTTAGGACTAAGGTGTTGGCACGTTGCAGAAGTAAAGCATTTTTATGCATAAATTATACAAGTTTTCCAAATTTCCAGCCTTAATATGACAGTTCCTCATTAACTGTCACAATTGTGATCCTTGTAAATAGATTTTATATCATACATTTTCCACTTCTCCAGAACCATCCTTAGTATACCCAGTTGCTTCTCATATCAGCTTGGCCTACTGATCACAGACTTGACAACAGAATTATTCTTTAGTATCACACAAATAAATTATTGAACAGTTACCATGAAACAAGCTTATATGTTAGATGGTAGCCAGTTGTATTCATGAGCCTCTGATACTGTATTTTATTGTTTGCATTATTCCTTATGTTGAAATGCCATGTGTGAGTTACACATTGGAATAACGGTGGCCATTCATTCATTCATTTTATTTATTTTCCATAGATCCGCACAGTATATAACCAGGATGTGGAAATGGTCCTTAAAGTACATATCAAAATAATCTTCAAAATACATGTACAAAATTGTATGAGTCCATTATTTGCAACAATAGGTTAACATCAGTTTTGCAGGTTGCAGATAGGCAGACTTATTACTTCATAAATTTGCATCTAATAATAATAATAAATAAATAAATAAATAAAAATTCAATTAAAACATGAATTAAATAACTTGCTATAAAAACATAGTCACAATTTCATATAATCACTTAAATTACCAGTTAGGCGTCTTCCGACGTCATACATTTATGACCAGTCCTATGTTAAATGTTCATACAAGTGAGAGAGGTGTAACAGCCTCTTCAATACATGTTTAAAATTGTACCATCAGCAGCCATCTTTGTTATGATTATCAATTAATGACAAACAGATCTGGATTATTAAAATTTGACTGTAAGTTTGTAGATCACATTGGTAAGATTAAATAAAATATGAGCCATAATTATTTTAGATAGGACAACTGCATATATAAATTGAAAATATATTACAAATAATTACTGATAATTACTGTTATAATTTACATATTATGACCAGTTATTCTGATAATATTCCTTCATATGCATATATGAACTAAGAATATAACTACAAATAATTCNTACAAAATTGTATGAGTCCATTATTTGCAACAATAGGTTAACATCAGTTTTGCAGGTTGCAGATAGGCAGAATTATTACTTCATAAATTTGCATCTAATAATAATAATAAATAAATAAATAAAAATTCAATTAAAACATGAATTAAATAACTTGCTATAAAAACATAGTCACAATTTCATATAATCACTTAAATTACCAGTTAGGCGTCTTCCGACGTCATACATTTATGACCAGTCCTATGTTAAATGTTCATACAAGTGAGAGAGGTGTAACAGCCTCTTCAATACATGTTTAAAATTGTACCATCAGCAGCCATCTTTGTTATGATTATCAATTAATGACAAACAGATCTGGATTATTAAAATTTGACTGTAAGTTTGTAGATCACATTGGTAAGATTAAATAAAATATGAGCCATAATTATTTTAGATAGGACAACTGCATATATAAATTGAAAATATATTACAAATAATTACTGATAATTACTGTTATAATTTACATATTATGACCAGTTATTCTGATAATATTCCTTCATATGCATATATGAACTAAGAATATAACTACAAATAATTCCTGAGCTAGCTCTATTATAATTTACATAGTATTACCAGTTATGCTGATAGTACTCCTTCACAGAGTAAAAAGCGTGATAAAACAAAAATCTTTTCAGTGTTGCTTTAAAGTTTAACAGACCAGAAGCCAACATTGTTATTGCTTCAGGTAGATGATTAAAGGCTTTAATGCCTGCTACATACACACCTTTCCTGTATTTTGATAGTTTGACAGTAGGTAAGTAAAGATTATTTAGGGATCTAGTTTTATATTTGTGAATCTTATTAACAGAATTGAAAAAATGTTTATTATTAATTGTAAATAAAATTAATGAGTATATGAACTGAGAATAAAATGAATAAATCCCTACAAGACTCCCTTGGACCAGAATTCGTAATAATTCTAATAGCCCTCTTTTGTGTTATAAAAACATTGTTAGCACAGGAAGAGCCTCCCCAAAAACTTATACCATAGCTCAAAATAGAATGAATGTGGGCAAAATAAATTAACTTTAATGTATCTGGAGGGATAAAGTATTTTATATTTTTCAAAGCATAACTTGCACTGGAAATTTTATTGATAACATAATCAGTATGCTGTTTCCATGTGAGAGTATCATCAATGATTAAGCCTAAAAATGTACAATACTTATTTGAAAAATGGTTGTGTAAGAAAAGTAATGAGAAGAGGCCAGCAGAAATTGCAGGATATTACAGTTCCAAACAGAAAAACAATTCATGCAATCATACAGTAAATTGAGGTAGAGAGAATTGTTACTGGAACCAAATAAAAATGCTGAGTTCACAAGAAAGAGAAATGGACTGAAATTGGTGCTAGGTTTGCTCTTAAAAAACTCAGATGTGTTGCATGGGAAATTGGAAATATTAGGATGAGCTGCCACAAAGCTCCTGACATTGAAACCTATAAAGCAACAGTAATGGGTTGGAATGTGACACATAAGGTCTCTTAATGGTGGTGGTTCAACAATATTTAGGGATGATATTGAAGAGAATTTGTATTGTTTATAGGCTTGTGGTTTTGTGAGTGTGCATGAAGTCAGCCCAGGTTAACATGAGGAGCATCTGTCTCTCCCATCAAAGTAGCTGAACAGCTTTTGGACACTGTCAGGCAGTTGCTATAATTGCATTCATACACATGTTTATACTGTCATGCTCATCATTGGTTCGGCTGCCCAAGTTGGATGTTAGCGTCCATGTGCTTCCATTTTACCTGCCTCTTTCCAAGAACAAGTGCCTTACACTTTCATGTTTAGAGATAACCTACAGTGTCATTGAGTTTATCCATGCTGAGGTGCCATTTGTAATGTTTTTTTTTCTATTATTTTTCTCGTACGAACTCAGCAGTGAGCAGCTTGATTGGGTTCATCCTGGGTTACAGAAGACAGTGAAGTAAATACCATTGTGTAATATACCAAAGCAATGTATGGATTTCATTTGAAAATACCAATCACACTTTTACTCTGGCATCTTATTTAAACAGTAGGCAGCACAAATAAGTAATAGTGGAAATGAATATTTATTGTATTAGAACTAATATATAGATTACCCAGGGATGCAATGGAACTTATAGTAATGGTGACCATATTCTAGATTTAAATGCACATCATAATTGAACTAGACCAATTATTTCCCTGCTCAAACAAATTATGGAAGTTAAGCCCACCTCCCAGTTGGAGTTCTGTGAGCAAACAAGTTCTTTTGACCAGTTTATGGAAATGTAAGTATTGTATCTGGTGTGAAGGAAATGCCAATGCGTAATTCCAGGATATAGTATAACCATTATATATAGTATAAAAGAAATACAAGTACAAAAATTTAGGTTATGTTAAATTATGTTTAGTTTTGGTTTGATGTGTTTGATGTATGTGCTGTTTAAAATAGTCAGTGGAGTTGAGTCTTTACCCATTTATCTAAATAAACTGATATACATGTACACTCCAACTTTACATTTAAGTATTAAGCCTAAGTCCCATGTTAAAATTTTGTGTTGATACATATCTCGATGTAAACATAAAGCTTACCAATTGCAGGTATACTGTATTGCACAGCAACCATGAGTGCAGGTACCACTACAGACAGTGGCAGTAAGTATATGTTACAGTCAGTGTTTTATATGTCTGCTGCCCTGCATTTTGCCTTCTTTCAAGCACTTGATATACTTTCATGTAGATTTGTGCATTTTCTTACTCTTATTATCTTTCCCACATTGTGTGTTAAACTCTCAGTGTTGTTCAAAATACTGATTGCATCATATTTTGCTGTCTCATATGCTCAGAACATTGACAGTGCTCTTAACTTTCAACATCTTTTGTATGACAAATTTTTTAGGTATGCTGTAAGTATGCTCACAAAGACAAGTTGTTATTTTATTAGTGGTTTTTTATGGCACTGTTAATAGCTCAGACTATATGGCATTGAATGGCAGATTTAGTAATGTATCATGAATTGGAAAGGATGTTGATGTGACATATTTCAAGGCATTAAACCTGTAAGCAGTAAGGAAAACCATAAGGACTGCATCAGGATAGTTGGTGAGCTGACTGAGATACAAATCTGGCACTTCCCAAGTACAAGTCAGAAGTGTTACTGCCTTATCCAATTTCTTAAGGCTGAAAGATGATAATTTGAAATTTCTCATGATTAGTAATTATGGTATGGGAAGTTTTATTGCCCATTGCTTTAGTAGGCAGATTATTGGCTCATGTTTCTGGTAGATATTTTTCCATGAAAATGGACTTGAACAGAACTATAATGAATCCTCATATTTATATGTGGTTGATGGATACAATCAGGCTTATATGACTGTGTGTGTCTATGTTTGTCAGGAAACTCTGCTGTGTGCTGCCATTTTGCAAGTATTTATGACTTCCTGAGAGTAACTGTGTTATCACATGCCTGGCTTAATACTGTTAACAGATTACAAGAAAAAATAATATCTCATTATAAATCCTTGCTTTCACACACTAGATGGAAAGCAGCATTGAGTCTGTAATAAAATTTGCTCTAAGTTCACAAGAGAACAATATGGCTTCCAATAACATTGTTTCTATTTGAGTAACTGCTGGTTAAAATTTTAGGATTTAAGGTTCTCACAGCAATGGTTATGAAGACTTCAATATTCTAGGATATAATGCCTTTTAGTCTGTCGAAAGTTGAGCTCTGCTTGCTGCCTGCTTCATGCTGTTTTCTTGCTTAGCTTATTATTTTGACCCTGAAGATGTAGATAACATGTTCCTCTGAAATGATAGATGACTGTCAGTAGAGTACACGGCATTATATCCCAGAGGATAGAACTCTTCAAGGGGCTGAAAGTATAGTTATTAGAGGTTCAGAACAAAGGTAAAAGTGAAGTTGTCCCTGAGCTTGAGAAGTCAGCACTACACTGTGAAAGAATGCTGGGAAATGAAGGTGTAGTTCCACTCATTCCTGACCTTAGTTCTAGATGGAGGTGAGTGGTTAGCTTCAAGCTTAATGGACACATTATTGAGTTATGACAGTGATGATAATTAACCTAGTGACAGAGGTTTTTCATTGGATGACATGTCAAATTATAGGTGGCAGAGAAAATGTTATGCCAGTGAATTTGGGTTTCAGGATGTATCAAAGGACACAAATTACAGTTTGGAAAGTTTTAAACTATTTTAAATATCTGTTTAATGTACATATGTAGTTTATTTATTGATGCTGCCTTTAACCAGCCTATATATCATTGAATGATGCTGAATAGTGAACTTGAAAGATGGGGAAGGAAATGGTTATATCCTAATTTAGAATGCTACTCCAGCATTTTCTGGCAGACACTGAGTAAAACCACTAAAAAACCTTGGGACAGTTGATGCCCCAGGTGAACTTCAAACTGTGCACTTCCTGAATAAAGTAAGATGTGTTACTGCTTGAACCAACTTATTAGGTGTATTTTTGAATAAAGAATTTGGTAAAGGTATAATGACTGAGAACAATTGATGTGCAGAACTGTTCATAAAATTGCATAGACATGTGTTCGGATGACCCGAGATCTTTACTGTGGGACTGGAAAGCAGTGATAGTGGTTGATATTTGTGTTATGCTTGGGATACTTATGTTAATGGGGAATATTCAGAAGCCTCTGTTTGACCCTATTTCGCTACTAAAGGGACAGTATTGACACCAGCATTTGGAGATATCATTGCTGGAGACAGGCTGGAACTTGTAAGATTTGAGGTTTTCAAGGCAATGACTATGAAAAATGCTGTCTTCTGGGGTGTGGCGCCATGTAGATCTTGTGTTAACCGACGTTTCGGAAGAACGTATCGCCTCCATTTTCAGGGTAGGAAATGAGGGATGGTGCTATGGTCCCTGCATCTAAGAAGGAAGGGAAGGGTACACAGTAGGCTTGGTCTTCTTGGTTTGTAGCATCTTGAGTTGTCGAATGGGTCAATGAGTAGCCTCCCCATAGAGGAACACTATGTAAGATTTGAGGATTTCATGGCAGTGACTATGAAGAATGCCATCTTCTGGGTTGTGGTGCTGTGTAGATCTTGTGTAAACCGATGTTTTTGAGGTGATACATTCCTCCAAAACGTTGGTTCACATAAGATCTACATGGTGCCACATCCCAGAAGATGGCATTCTTCAAGGCTGAAACTTATTTCATAACTTTTTATATTATTTGGAGGATGAAAATAAGAATTATGTCCAGGGGTCCTCAGAACTGATCAAAATTCATTCTTTTATTATCTGTTTAAATTATAAATTTCACACATTCTGTTTCCCTGTAGTAAACGTATGAATATTTGAGTCTCTGATATGGTGTCCAATTCTGTTGGGACCTGCAAGCAGATTGCCATTCTTGTCCTTCACCAAGGTAGTTCCAGGTATGTAGCCCTATTTAAATCCATTTATGCCTCTCCACAATATTGTGATATTTTATTTTTACATGGATTGTGGTAATCTGGGTTGTGACTATAGTTTTGTAGGCAGATACTCATGTTTCAGAGGAACATGCTGCTTTCACCTTCAGGGTTGAAATGCATGGGTTCAGGAATTGGCTCAGTTAGACATGTTGTGAGGTAGGCGGTAATGGAACCCAAGGGGAAAGGGGTAAAGGAAGGAACATGATCAGGGCTAGTGGGAAATAATGTATAGTAAATGACCCTCAAAGGGTCACACTAGTTTATTGTTACTGGTTGGTAATAGGATACTGAGAGCATATTGCCCATATAACAGTGCCAATGCATGAATCTACACACTTAAACCTTGAAGACAGAGGCAGTATGGTCCTCCAAAATGTAGGTACCCCCCTACAAGACTACAGAGAGTCAAAACCCAGAAGATCACAATATGAAAATGACTATCATGAAGATCTCAAACGTTTGTGTTTATTGTTTGTTCAAACAAATTAATTTTGTTTTTCATATGTAAGGAACACCAGTTCCATAAAAGGCATGAAGTTGCTTGAATGGCTATGCGATTATTAGCTTCTTGAACTCCACGGAATTAGTTAGTTGATAAGAGCAAAGTTCCCCAACAGTTATTGCGTTTAGTTTTCCTGACATTTCTGTTCATGTTAACAGAATGACTAGGAAGAGTACGTAATGCTATGTAGCTCAGAAGAAGCATGATATTTCACAGGAATATGTTGACTTGATCTTCAGATTGCTGAATAAGCGAAGCAAGAAACTAGCAAGAAGCAGGCAGGAAGCAGAGTGAACCCACATATCGAAAATCAGGTGTGATATATGCTAAGCTTGAAAAGAACTGAGAGAGCCAGTGGGAGAGTGGCCATTTCCTGAAAGGGGAGCTCACAGAGGAACTGGTAGCTTTGTTTGGCTGTTAAAGGGGATTCTTTTTTTTTTCTGTGCCAAGAGCAGTTGAATATATGTCTGGAGAAGAGGCCAGCTGAGGATAATAGGGGTAATAGGCAGTGGAAGGGATCCAGGAGGGTGAAAGAATAAACTATTGCAGAGGCAGCCAAGAAAAGCTAGGAATATGGGTGCTCTGAATGAGCAGAGTCATGAAAAGGACAGTGTTTGTGTGCCAAATAGCCCGGGGAACCCCATTACAAGAAACTTATAAAGGAGACTACCTACATTCTTACAGGGAAGAGATGAGAGGTTTCTGTGATTTAATTAGGCCTCCTGCTGAGTTTTTGTTTAGCTTACTGTTCAACCTTGAAGATGTATTAAAATTTTAATTCAAAAGTTTGAGCTTTTTTCTGAACTGCACATCATACAACCCAGAAGATTGTGCTATTCGTAGTCACTTCTCTGAGAACTTTGAGTCCAAAAGAAAATGCAGAATTTTTCAATGAATGCATCCTGTTGTGTATCATATATTATTTCTTACTGAAAACCGTCACAAGACAACATCAATAACACTTGTAAGCAGCTCTAGAAGATACCTTTGATGCATGTTTCAGCCTTCTGTAAGGCCATCACCAGGCAAATACACTAAACCCCTCATTGTTGAACTGCATGCCAAATGTAAGTCACAGTGATAAACTTCCAAGTGTATGCAATGGTATAAAATGATATGAGTGAATACAAATATAAATTACAATAAAAGTTAAAATCTTAATTGATCAGTTACATAGTCAGAAGCGGCCTCCGTAGTCTAGAGGTAACGTTCGCACCTCATGACTCGTAGTATGCGGGTTCAAATACCTGGTGGAGGTCGTCGAATTTTTAAGGGCGGAAAAATTCAGGGAACAAGTCCTCTGGGAGGGACTTTAAGCCATGGGTCCTGTGTTGTAGCTTTACGGCATGTAAAAGTACCTCACGCCTCCAAAGGAGGTCACTGAGCAAAATTGCGAACGTTTCCCACCCAACAGCAGTCACTAATACCTCTGGTAGATGGGAGAAGCATTATAGATACTTCTCAGCCAGTAGAGCCGGTCTCGCTGGCTGGGTGGGACTGATGGTAAGCACCAATACTGGTAGGATATAGAGACTGGTAGAAATCATAGAGGGAAGCACAATGGACCACTACAGGTCTAAGTGCATGGGGAAACCCACCCTCTCTAATAACTAACTAACTAACTACATAGTCAGAAGTACAGTTAAAAATTGCATATGCGATGTACTTGGAAGTAGGCAGCTGCAATTGTAATACAGTAAAACTTGGTTATAGCAACATCGGTTTCTGCAACACCTTGTCTATTGCGTCAAATATTCAATGGTATGAACTAATTCCTCATAAAGCAACTGTTTTTATACCTTGCTTGGTACGACATGCACAAATGCATCAACCTCATATGTAACGTCATTTTCATTCCTGAATTTCTCTGATATCGTGGGAAAGTTCGATGTGTCTGCCCACCCTCACTTTCTCTACTTGCTGACGTGACTGTCCTGGAAGAATACGACCACGGGCTGCAAGAGGAGCATGGGTTTTATGCGAAAACAAGGGTGTGGGGTGGGACTGCGTGAATAGTGCAAGAGGACGCGGCAGGTTGTTAACTGCATTCCTTTCCTAGAATCTCGTCTAACAGGACCTCACATTGTCTACTTACCCTATAGTGTTCCTGCCTAAACCCAGAGAAGTGCAGTAGCGAAAACATGGCAATGAAAAGGAAAGTTTTAAGCATTGAAGAGAAAGTTAAAGTGATTCGTGAAATATTGTGTGTATTGTCAGTGAAAAGCGCTGTAATATGTCTTTGATATTACACATTTGGTCAATACCACGTTAATGTTACGTTAATCTGTACTTAACTACGTATTTCACTAAAAAATGCAACATTTTAACTCGGTTTTTGGTAGATTTTTACGTGACTAACATAAGGCTACTGTGGAAGTGCCCATTTCGGTTACAACGACATTCGTTTATAACGACACTATTTTTAGGTCCCTTTGATGACGTTATAACCAAGTTCTACTGTACATGCAATACCCATATGGACACATTATATACACAATCGCCGATATGGCGTTCGGAGGCCCGTTGTTATGTTGCATGTTATTGCCCAATACCTGACACTATTTGAGGGGCAACTCCATTGTGTAAATGTCTGATTTGATGGAGAGATAGATTACAACTCAATCTCTCTCTCCATCAAATAGCTGATATGGCATTCGGAGGCCTGTTGTTATGTTACATGTTATTGCCCAATACCTGACACCATTTGATGGGTGACTCCATTGTGTAAATGTCCAATTTGATGGAGAGATAGATGCAACATAACAACGGGCCTCCGGACGCCATATCAGCTATTGTATATATAATGTTTCTGTATGGGTATTGCATGTATTATGATTGCAGCTGCCACCTTCCAAGTACATCACATATGCAATTTTTAACTGTACTTCTGACTATGTAACTGATCAATTAAGATTTTAACTTTTATTGTAATTTATATTTGTATTCACTCATATCATTTTATACCATTGTATATACTTGGAAGTTTAGCACTGTGACTTATATTTAACATGCAATTCAACAGTGAGGGGTTTAGTGTATTTGCCTGATGATGGCCTTACAGAAGGCTGAAACATGTAGCAAAGGTATCTTCTAGAGCTGCTTACAAGTGTTATTGATGTTGTGTTGTGACAGTTTTCAGTAAGAAATAATGAAAATACGCAAGTTTGCGGATCTCATAACATAATATTTTACTTTGTGCCTAATTCTGTCAGAATTTGGTCACTGCCTCATGGTTTGTACCTTTTTGACTTTTTAGTAACATTCAGTCACATCGAAAATAGGATCAGGTTGTGCTCAGTATTATGCATTTTAATCTTCCCAACAGCATTAACCCTATTTGAATGAATGAATGTATAAAAGGTGGGCCTTCTCGGCCCTTGCACCGCGACCTAAAGTGATCCGTTGTGCTTATTAACCCTATTTACTTTCACTAGCTAGTTAAAATAATTTTTCAACCTGTTCAAAGTAGAGGCAGGAGTCTGCAAGTAGATCAGTTATTGTTTCATCCTTTACAGAGTTTGTTCTAGGTTGGTAACTCTTCTTAAATTCATTTATGCTTCTTTACATATCTATATTATAATAATATACAATGGATTGAAGTACTTCAGAATTTTGCCGATTGTGGTCTGTGTTAATTAATGATTCCTGTCGCTAGGGAGTTGTCTATAGGCATAGTGAGTACATGACATTTAATCTGTATGAATTTCCAGATATTACCACCTTGTTTTTGTATGTGAATGATTTTATATCGGAATTATATTTTACAAATGTAACTTCTTTCTGATGTGTGTACATAAGTGATCCTATTGTATCTTTACATTTCTATGATGTGTTATTTTGATGTATGTTCTGTGAGTGTGTGCATGGTCACACATGTTTATGGTGCTGTGGGGGAGTTGGTTCCATGTTACAAGCAAAAGTGACTAGTCTTTTGTTCTCATTATTTTTCTTTTGTGAGAAAATTTCAAGCTGGCAGGATGATTTCCTGACATCATTGAGAACTATACTCGCAAGTGTCATTCTGCCTCCAATCTGTTAAAAGTTTTCACTTCTTACCAATCTCTGAAATAGATATAACTATATGTGCAAGTAGGCGACACGTGGTAGTGTAGCTGGTTGAGACACTATGCTACAAACTGGAAGATTGCGGGTTTGAGTCCCTATGAGATGGATTCTTTTCAATTTACCCAAGCCTTCCAGCTGCACTATGATCCTGGGGTTGGGCTCAACCTCTAATAGAAATGAGTACCAGGGGGATAAAGGGTGGCGGGTGCATAAAGCTGACAATCCTACTGCCATCTGTGAGCCAGTTATCTAGAAAAAATATGGTAACCTTGACATCTCACAACCCTATGGGCCTCCACATCCTGTTACAGGGATAGCTGTACTTCTTTTACCTTATATGTGCAAATATATGCAACACTTTACCTCTTGTTAAGAACCTTTCCAAGTTCATTTTATGTACATGTTATTTTCATATGGAAAATCTGGTTGTTAGTTACTTGTTAAATTCCCCCAGATTTCTGTAATACATACTTTTATTAGAGTACTTTGCATGCTTCACATACAGTGTACATACATTACCTGTTTGACTTTACTGTTAGATAAAGAAATTCAGAAATGAGATCCACATTTGGGAGCTTAAACATGTTCAACATGGTCATCATTTGTTACACATATGTGGGGCAATCCAAAAGTTTCCGAAATTTGAATTTTGCGCGCGAATGGTTATGAGTACATCAAAATACCGCTAGGTGTCTTCTCACACATCCTTCTTGAATCAGTGTGGCAAGCGACGTCGAGTTGAGTGGTTGGGTTTATTGTTGGTGAACGTATTTCCATTGTTGTGTTTCCTTGAGTTTGCGGTTTTGCAATGGCTGACCTGAGAGAGCAGCGTGTCTGTATAAAGTTTTGTTTCAAACTTGGGAAAACCGCTGCAGAAACGCACCAAATGTTGAAGCAAGCTTTTGGTGACAACAGTTTAGGCCAGACGTAAACTTACAACTGGTATAAGCGTTTTAAAAATGGCCGAACATTGACTGATGACGACGACGATTGTTCGGGACGGCCATCAACGGGCAAAACACCAGAAAATGTTCCGAAAGTTAGGGATATGATTCTGCAAGATTGTAGACTGACCATCCAAGACCTCTGTTACACCTTGGGACTAAGTTATGGTACATGTCAACGAATTTTGTAGAGGAACTGAACATGTGGAGGATTGCGGCAAAGTTTGTGCCACGACTGCTGCAAAATGAACAGAAGCAGCATCGCTTGGAAGTCTGCAGGGAACTTCAACAACAGCTTCAAAGAGGATCCAAAGTTTCTTTCGAAGGTTGTCACTGGTGATGAAAGTTGGGTTTATGGCTACGACCCTGAAAGCAAGCAGCAATCATTGCAATGGAAGAACCCTGCTTCACCTCTGCCAAAAATCTCGACAAGTCAAGAGCAACATTAAGTCCATGTTGATCTGTTTTTTTGATATTGACGGGATTGTTCATAAGGAGTTCGTCCCTCCTGGTCAGACAGTCAGTAAAGAGTTCTATCGTGATGTTCTAAGGCGTTTGAGGGAGAACATGAGGAGAAAACGTCCAGAGAAGTGGCGCACGAACGACTGGCACACTGGCGCACAACTGCATATGGCTTACATTGTGCAGGAATTTTTGGCTAAAAACAAGATGGCAGTTGTTCCCCACCCACTGTACTCGCCAGACTTAACTCCATGCGACTTCTTTCTCTTCCCCAAGATGAAAATCAAGTTGAAGGGGCGAAGATTTGATACAGTCAAGGAAATTCAAGCGGAAACGCAGACTGTACTAAACACCCTAACAAAGAAAGACTTCCAGGATGCATTTGAAAAGTGGCAGNACGTCACCGCGGAGGGGAGTGGCGGGGAGCGCTACGTTACCGTGGAGAGGAGGGTGGAGGGGGGTTCTCAGTCGCGCAACATGTTACAATATATTTCGGGAACTTTTGGATTGCACCACGTATAATACTGAAATGATATTTCTGTGGTGTTACAGGAAAGAGAGTGAAGTAAGAAATTTTTCAAAATGAGATAGCTGCATCAAAAATTCTCATTTATAAAAGGATCAAATAGAAACCAGATTATGTCAGTACTCTCCATTCAGTGAGATGATGAAACACTGATTTAAATACATTTTGGCATTCATATCTGAAGCTGTTTCTTTTTGACCCCTGAAAAGTGATGTTTGCTGGCTACACCCTCCTTTCTGTAACATCGCAGAGTTGGTCTCATTCCATGTCCATTATGGCATTTCAGTATCAGCAGATGAAATAACAGCAGCAATTTTGTCTTTAAGTTATCGACGTCCACCTGCATTGTGTATACACAGATATTTATATCACCCCCATGCAAAAAATCGTGGGCATTGCTTCTGGTGACCTGTCCAGTCAAGAGGTGGGTCAACTATAGCGAATACAATGGTGCGCCATTGTTCTGGGAAGAACTCATCACCTGCTTCCCCTTCACTACATATCGATATGACATGTAACACATAGAAAGCACTACGTCCAATAGTTCTTATGTTGTTGCAAGTGTATTTGTTGCCACAGAAACATATTTACTGAGCCATTGCCTAGCAACAGCTATTTCTTTTGGCTCCACTGTTCTGGTTTTTAGGTGTCATATTACATTCAAAAGTTATTAAGTGGGGACATGTAGTCACAGAAACAACAAGGTGGTCTCATAGGCCTTCTTTCAATTTTTAAAAAGTAGACAAAAGTTGTGTTAAGCTGCAGGTCTTGTAACTGTGGATATAGGTAGCACTCAGCCATATCTAGATATTTTATGGTGTCAGTGTTTGTCTCTGATGTATTCCTGTGCAATGGCATATGTTCTGATCCCCAGAGTCTGTAAGTTTTGTGTGTTTACCTTCCGAGACATGTGGAATATTGCTTCATCTGAGAATATCATTTTCCCTAAGAAGTCTCTGCCATTGTTCGGTAGTTGAAGCATGGAAATTCATGAGAACATGAAGCAATTGCAACCTGTAAGCATACATACGTAAATATGTACATTAAACCTACTAGCTTCTAATGTGTAGATGACTAGGCACAGCTCATACAGATTTGCTCTGGCTGTGGGTTTTTCTTTTATTGCTAGTGGGGTGGGACTAAGTCCCTTGTACTGCTGCCACTTCTGGCCTATTCTACCAGCCCCAGATGATAGGTGAGGGTGATTGTGGAGCAGTTGGTGGAATGAAGATTGGCAGGAGAAACCGAAGTACTAGGAGAAAACCTGCCCCAGTGCCAATTTGTCCACCACAAATTCCACTTGACCAGACCCGGGATCGAACCCGGGCTGCAGCGGTGGGAAGCCAGTGACTAACCGCTTGAGCTATGGTGCGGCCGTCTGGCTATGGTTAGTTAAATGCCTGTTCTGCACATTCCAGATTTTCTTCTGACACATGGATGACCTACATCTCTCAGCTATGATGCACACTTCATAACTCCTTGAACAGTTCATACCAAGCATATATCAATGACCCATATTGTGGTGTTTTGTGTAAGATAATTAAAAAATTTCTTTGGGCCCAAGTACATGATTTTGTTAAATGATAAATCACTTGACACACTGAGCTTTCTGATGTGATGCCATGACAGCTGTCATGATGATTATGATGCACTTGAGCAGTGGTGACACATACAAGGATTCTACTCACTGAAACTTTATACCTTGCTCTTACAGGTTGATCAAACCCTGTTTGTGTATATTGTTTCTGAGGTTCTTATTTGATATTAAAATTGTGAAGATGATATGTATGCAGCCTCTGTACTTATGCTACCACAAAGAGCCAAACACGAGTTTCCTAAAGGTTTGAACACTTTCAGCTTTTAGGATTTTCTTAGTAGAGGTACATTAAATCTTTTGAGAATATGGATGAAACTATTAGAGCCTGAAACTTTAATGCCTAACTATACGAGTAGTATAATGTAAAACTGGTGTTTGTTGTGGTTAGGTGTAATTTGTTCCTGTATAAAGCGCAAAATTCTGTTTCAGAATCCACTGTTTGGAGGTCCCACTTGGAGAAACCTGGAGCAACCATCGCATTGATCCGAATTGTTGGTAGTGAAAGGATTCAGTCAATGCTTCTGGACAGAAATACAATTAAGAAAACTGTGTGGGCACAAGTGGCCGAGGAGCTTTCACGGGAAGGCTTTGATCTGGGTCCAGATGCAGGGAAAGCATGTCACCAAAAGTGGCGCAATCTCAAGAGAGCATATATTGTTTACATAACCAAAGCAGGGAACAAAACAATGCCACCTTACATGGAAGAACTGCAGAAAGCTTTGGAAACTACCAGGAAACTTATTAAGCCATGGAAATGTGATGATGTTGGAGTGGACAGCAGGTCAGATGATCCTATGTCAGACAATGATGCTGAAACATCAGCTGGGTTTACATCTCTGAAATCATCGTTGCAGTTCCCACACAATCAGTCAGTAAACTTGGCTGAAGTTCTTGCTATTGTACAAAGTTTGGATGAGGATCGAAGGGTGAGAGAAGAAGCTAGAGAGAAGAGAGAGGAGGAGAGGTTCAGTCGTATTGAAGCATTGTTGAAGGAACAGGCGGAACAGACAGAGAAACTGACCAATGCTCTTCTTGAGATTACACATGCAGTAATGGGAAACAAGAAGAGGAAATTGACTGATAGTAGTCAGGAGAGTTAAAGTGATAATTTTCTTGCAGCCCTTTCCCTATTCCATCTATAATGCAACCTGTGTAGCACTGGCAGACCATTTTCTTTTTCTGGCTATCTAAACTTAAAATTATTGCAGCTCTATTTTACTACATTAGAAGAAGCAGAATATTTTTAATGTTGGTATGTTGTTCTATGTTAGACTGGGGGTAAGGCTGAATGCAGTCTCAATTTTTCTGATAACAGTGTGTTATATAAACATGACCATTCTTTTGGACATTGTCCATTGTCTTTTTGTATTCAAACAAAGTGTTTTGGAAATTGGACCTGTTTCTGTCATTAACTCTAAGTGGGGGGGAATGTTGGGCCCATCAGAAAGAGCTAGTTTAAATCACCAGCCCAACTGACTAGGAACCTTTCCTTCCCTCTGATGATCGAAAAAAATTCAGTTTCCAAAACATTGTATGTGATAAAAACTCAAGGCAATTTGCATTGTCCCAAGTAGCAGTCATAGCCATATTTAAAGTTAATACAGTGTTATAGAGAACTGCTCTAGTTACAGATGTTGCTGTCTTGTAGATTTAACCATAGTTGTATGTATGAATGTATGTATTTCTGAATGTAAATGCATTAAGTCTCTTTGAGATTTGATGTTCTCATGGCTGTGGCTATGAAGAATGCTGTCTTCTGGGATGTGATGCTGTTGGCTACATCATCAGGGTTGAAGGGTAAGCCAAGGAAGCAGAGCCACTAAATTTCTGCCTGACCACATGGCGTTACATTGCAGAGGGTAGTATTCCTGTTAAACTGGAGTTGAGAAGGCTGAAGACTGAGATGCAGGGTGTTCTTCTTGTACTGTCTGATAAATTTAAAGCACAAGTGAAGTTAGTGTTCCCAGTTAGGGGACTGTAAGGATTGTAAGGAGCATTGGTTACACAATTTTTAGCTATTTCCAACATTGGTGTTGAGGTAAATATCTGTTCCTGCATGTTTAATTGCATTGTACAGCTTGGAATGTGGTTATATGTGAACTTACCAGTGTTGTATCACTTTGTATATGAAATACATGTATGTTACAGCCACCATGCACTGCTAATTTTTAACCTATGAAACTAGTGTCATTCTTCATCAAGGTCACACATCATGCTCTTGTTCTGCTGTGGTTACAAGTTAAAACTTCTGTCATCTGTCACATGTCCATGGAATTTTCTTCCCTTTCTCATATTCTGTAGCATCCTGTTGTGTAAATCGTTATAGATAATATTTATTTTATTTATATCAGTACAGCTCTATTCTGGCATATAGAATTTGCTGTGACCCTTTGGTCTCTCTTGATACTCATCTGTGCTCTTGCTCTGACCAGGTGGCATGTTATCACACCCTCAGCCTTTAAGCTGGAGTCTTCATCTGGTGCCCATCACTTGGCAGGTTACAGAGTAAGGAAGCTATTTGTATAATACNATATTCAAGTAGATCCAATTACAGGGCAAGAAACAAGTTGTCACACTACTGGATATAGAATACGTCAAAAATCAAAACAAATGTTCCAACCAATCACTGGAACAAGTCAAAATAACATAATTTGAAACATAGACAACACAGTCACTAAACACAATAAAATGTGACTACAACAAGACTTAAATACTAGATGAAAACATATTACACTTTTATCTTATAAAATTCATCCAGTTTATAAAAACAATGCATATGAATGGATATTCTCAATAAACAACACAATATCAAATAATGTATGTTACATCACTCACACATCAAAAGAAAAACTATAAAAACATCTAACATGCATGAACAATAAATGGAATAAATAACTTCTCTCAGAAGTGTACTAAAATTATTATGGTAATAAAACATTCATAAATAAATAAATAAATAAATTCATAAAACAACAAGAGATTGGATGTTAAATAAAAGCCATATTTGGTGTGTATACAGATCTAAAATAGATGATTATATATTTTTAGTTAGTTAATAGGACTTGTTAAGGTTAATTTTAGATACTATTTATAAGAACCAAGATCACCCCTTGTGTTCCGTTCATAATATTCATTTAAAGAATAAAATGAACCAGCAAGAAGAAATTCTTTTAGAGCCTGTTTGAATTCAGTAATATCATTTAATGGATTCCTGATGCCTTATGGTAGATTGTTGAATATCCTAATTCCTGAATAATATACACCCTTCTGCACTTTAGCTAATTTATTACTTGGAAAATGTAAGTCAAAACCTTGTCTGGTATTAATGCTGTGTATAGCAGAATTAAATTTAAATATATCTAAATTCTTAACAACAAAAATTGATACTGAAAATATATGTTGAGAATATTTAACTGCCTGAACAATGGACGACAAGAGTCCTTATTTCTTGCCTTCATAATAATTCTCACTGCTCGTTTTTGGATTTTAAAAATTAAATTACTACGAATTGAATTGCCCCAAAATATTATTCCATACGACATAATGGAATGTACATATGCAAAATAAATCATCCTTAAACTCTCCTGAGTCATAACTGCAGATAGGGTTCTAATAGAATAACTAGCCGCATTCAGCTGAGTTACCAAATGATTTATTTGATCTTTCCATGATAAGGTATTATCTATGATTAGTCCTAGGAATTTTGTATTACAGGTATTTTTAACATATCATCAAACATAAAGTTTGATGAAAAATGTACATAGTTATGTTAAAATTTAATGATAATGAATTATTCATAAACCATGTGTACTTTGTTCAGTATCGTTTTCATTACCACATGTTCCACAGAATCAGAATTGTAACATAGTATGCTGGTATCATCAGTCAGAGTCAGAGTCAGAGTCACATTACCACTGACGGTCAGTCAGTCTGTCTGTCTTGGTGTCGAGCCCCAGCTGGGGCTCATGACCAGATATTTCTTTTGTATGAAAGTTACTGTCCTGCCCATGTGTAGCGCCCTCTCTGACGAGAGATCGGGTCTGTCATTTGTTAGTCAGTCTGTAGTAATATTTCCATNTCATGATTTTGTATGACTTCTGCTTGTTGCCTGCATAATTTTGTTATGTAATCATAAACGTATGGAATTTTGAATGCCATGTGCAAATCGCGGACCGGTGTGCGCCTTGGAAAATTGCCAATCGTGCGGAGAACCTTGTTGGTATCATCAGCATACAAAATAGGCCTTACATAGGCCTCTCGCGGACCACACAGAAAACAGCCTATATTGTTGGACGTGTTTACCGACCTATTGCATAGCAACGATCGCAGCACGGACTCCCCTGTTGCGTGACGTCACAGCCTAGCGGGGGGGGGGGGTTTACCGAGCGTTGCGTAGTGACTGGATGACTGGGGATATGTGACATCACTCGCACTTCCTGCTGCGCTATCCAAGCATTCGCAGAGTTGTCACCTAGCAACGCGCCGATACAATCCGCAATTGTCCCGTTGCGCGCTTGCCCCGAGGCCTCTGTGGCTCAACAATTCCTGCGTATAGCAAATACTCCACAATATCATCTCCACCACCTTCAGCTTGATTAGCTTACGGACAGTTTTTATTGGTTACTTGCTTGACTTATTCTTCCAACCTGAAGATGGGGACGATGTGTCCCTCCGAAACATCATCTGTGTCTGAACTACAAGTTAGAAGACCACAATCTTCATGCCATTTACAATTCCTCTTACCGAGGTCACCTGGCAAGTGTACCCAGTGCAGTTGTACAGTCTTGTTCAAGTATTTATACGAACTCACTGAAAATTAAATTGTTGTAATCGCTGTCCCGAGATTCTATTTTTATCTTCTCGCAAGAAATCATGAAACGCCTGAACTATAGACAACTCCTCTAACTGTTCTGTTATGCAGGAAGCCGAAACATTACCAGCGAGGAAATTGTTAGCTGCCTCTATACTGTCAGGAACGGAGTTTTAAGGGGTATCGAGTAGCTTCAGTCTCTCTGAAATACCGGATGACTGTCATTGTGGTCTGAAATAGTTTTGACACAATTCGTCAAGATCTTGCGACCCTTAGTCACTGCGTGTTATTCACGAATGTATCGTCACAGCCCAACACATAGGCTACATGCACTTCCCATGTAGTTACACATTTCGACTCGTGACCGTCATGTTCATGTGATACAACGTTTCAGTTTTTACGGACTGCTGTTACAGTGTGTCCGCAGCTCTAATATTTACGTTGTGCAAGCATGACCAGCCGTGGGAGTTATTGATATTATTCTTGACGTTACACTCTCATATGTTTACTGTCACCGGTTAACAAGGATCTGCCATTTTTTATCTTCCGTCTAACCTCCGTAATAGACTTAATAAATTATACATATGAGGCTCTCACTACAGTGTCAATGAAGAAAATATTCTGGGATATTATGGCCTGTAATGTGGTAAAAATTAGCCGACGTTTCGGAGGAGCGGAATGTCTCCATCTTTAGAGAAGATGAGTAACCCAAGTAAGCAGCAAACAGAGCGAGCTGCAAGTGGAAACCCCGTCTTTCCTCCTCTCCTTGCGCCTTTCGATTCTCTCTGGAGTCCGACGGAAGTCTGTATCCAACCATGTTTTTCACCCTATCCTAAGCCCTATTAATCCAGTCCACATCATGGCACCCCGTTTCGTAGCTAGGCTTGTCAGCTTTCAATATTATCCTAATATATATTCGTAGGTATACCAAGTTGTCTCTTTCCTGCAGGTTTTTCCGACTAACGTTTTGTAAAAATTGTCTCGTCTCCCCATGTGTCCATGTCCTGCACGTTAATTTTCCCTGATTTGATCACCACGATAGTGTGGTGTAACACAGACTAGCGGAGTTTGAATTCCCGTTGTCAGCTGTCATGGCATGTTTTTTCCGGGTTTGTGAGACCTTTGCCAAACATTGCGTAAATATGTGAATTTTGAACCCCACGTGGTCAATACCAGTTTGAAAAATTCTGAAAATATTGTACGATATATAGGATTTCAGAATCTCACATCTCTGGTTGTGAAGAGTCCAATCTCCTGGATGTGTAATCCAATGAAAATCAACCAACGTTTAGGAGAAACATGTCACCTCCAACTTCAGGGCCGAAGAATAAGCCAAGAAAGACTGCCCAGACGGGGTTATATACCAGATGATAGAACTCTCAATATATGGATGCATGCCTATATCTCGTCTGATTAAGGAGTGCCCGTGACAGAAGTCTGATAAGACTCGATATAGTTTATGTGCAATCTCTTGCCTGTCGCCCTGCAGTCTCGCTACAGTCAACATAAAATGTCAGCATCCGCTAGCGCTCACAGCGACCTCGGTCAAACCGAGTTGAACAGTACTGCTTTGTCGCTGCTCTGTATTTGGCGATGAGTAAAAATTGTGACGTTCGGCACTGTGTCGCACTATATTACGTTATCTTGCAGCTTATGTACATGTGTCCTACACCGTAACACCAGTTACCGCATTTTCATGTTTCCGTCCTGTGGAGTACGATAAATAAAACCTGCTACCTATCGCCTCGTACATTTTTCAGTTTTGATTTTGTTTTCTAATACTACTCTTTCAGAGGCACTGAGGTATTATGCGAGCTCGAATTATAGAGATAATTGCTTCTGTTTTGCGCGGTAGTATCCAAGCCACTCGGCTCAATAGAATCGTGATAGTCTATAGCACTGGTACATATCGACTTGTCACCGAACAGGCGGACCTAACGGTAAGAATCTACAGTCTTATTCTGGAGGTACTCGGTTCGACTCAAGGCAAATGCGGGGGAGTACCTTAATATTAGGTCACAACCGTTTCTTTCCACGTCCTTTCCAATGTATTGTGGCATGTAGACCCGATGCTAATCAACGACTGAGAAACAAAGCACTACGAAGCGGCCGTTACCAGGCAACGGCCCATAAACTCTAACAGAGTAACTGTGTTTTCTCTGCATTCTGTGCCGAGATGTTATAAGTAGGACAGTTAGTGACAGTTCAGTCAGTCGAGTTGAGTTGATTGGCCAGTGACTGAGTTAGTGAGTTAGTTGAAGAAGTGCTGAGGCGCAGTCATTTTGAGCTGTTGCTATGAGAAGCTGGTAGCTGAGGACAGGGATATTTCAGGAACACGGAGG